TGTGAGGACGCGTGGATCTCTGTGTCTCACAAATAGTTGTCTCACGTGGGAATCGAACCCACGAGCCCGGCCGAAGCCGAAATACATTGGCAACACGGAGCTATCTAAAACAGGCTTTATGTAAGTGCGATCGACAACGTCCAGTTTGTGAAACAATGTTCATTCTTTCCGTTAAGAAGATCATTCTGATCAATTCAAAGAGTTTAACCATCGTTTTGGCAATCGTTTGGTCAAATGACATTTGAAAAGCCATTTGACAGCTGATTAGTTAATTTCTACGATGATCGGTGTTCAGAAACCGGGCGCAATACTAACATTACTACTTACAGAAGAAACTTAAAGAGAAGTCTAAACACACCGATGTCCACGAGTCCAGACAGCTAGATAATAAGCGATGACGTCAAGACGATAAGAGCATATTATCTGGAGTTACACGCCCGTCTTAACTGGCTGCGGAAGTAATCGAGCCGTTATATGGCGGAGTACTTAACGCCATGTGTTATCAACATCGAATGATCGTAATTATTGCCCGTTCAAAAATAGAACGCGGGATTTAGGCGTCGCGTTTGTGTGTGATCGTGCGGCGAGCCTGTCGCGCTAGCTGACGCAGCCCCAGCCTGTCAAGTCCCACGTTTTCGAAGGTCCAAAGTTCAGAGCCATCAAAGCTCTCGAAAGCCGTGTTTCATTAAGTGTCTGGAATACGGCGTGGAATATGGCGGAAAAACACCCAGATGCGAAACAACTATCTGTGGGTCACACCAATAGTTGTCCCGTGTGGGAATCGAACCCACGACCACCGACGCCGAAGCCAATACCTTGGCAACTGCGCCACGGAGTCATCAAATTGTGGATACTTGTATTAGTTGAATTATAGATACTATTGTAATAGGGGCCCGTGAATTGTTTGTTGCTGCTTAATATTTCTTTTGAATAATTGTGGGTCACTGGTTCTAATCCATATCGACATCATATCGACTCAAAAGGCTAGTTCTCTGCGTTTCTTCACATTGATAAGGATATGTTGTTTGTTGTATAATACAGCTTTGCTATATGAAACTTTGTACCGATTATTGGGAATGTCGCAGCGTCAAATTATCTTGAAATACACGATTAATTTCTATGCCAAATTTATTCGAATAAACACAAAACACAAACACACAAACATAATCGCTTTTATATCTTTGATTTAAGTAAGCCTTTCCGTTCGCTAACGGAAGTTTAACTATTTGTTGGTTCATTGCAAACTAATTTATAATCAATATTGAATAATTATTCTAAATTGATATTTGTAAAATCTGTTAACAATGCTCAATTATCAGATTTATATTCCAGTTATCCACAATTAAAATAAAATTCTTAATCTAACTAAATGACACATCGTAAACCGCTAGATTTAACCCAACACTTTTTAAAGCCATTTTTAATCGAAATGTAAAAAAATAAACATTTACCTACCACGTATTTTGTATCGACTATCATCTAAAGAATATACAAACCTTATTAGATATATTATAGTTATTCCTATATACGAACCTACGGTGCAAATATACAATATTGATACCTATATTGAAATCCGATCAACTAGGGAAGAATTCACAAAATGCCTACTTGAATACAGACAATTAATCGATGTTGTCTTGTATCGACTTTTTTCTCTTTTATTTGGATTAGCGTTAACGCATAGCCGGTTGTAGGACAAAGACTGGCGTTTATATTTCCCATGCTTAGGGGAAAAAGTGTTAGAGTGCTGTTAGTTGGAGTATTTGTTGTTTTACACTCGTCTGTCGACTTCACAATGTGCTATTGACAGCAGTTTAACTTATAATTTGAAACTCTACTTGTAAATAGTTACGGACGGTGTGCGAGAAATCGTAAACATGTTCGGTATCATTTATCAATTAAAAATAACGTTTACAAAAATCTAATCTACTTAATTGGTAGTATACAAAATGGCGAGAATATTTTGTTTTGTGTGGCAGGTAACCTCACAGAGAACCGGTGTAAAGTGGAAGTATAATATTTTCGCGTTTCGTCTGGTGAGTGAGGTGGCCGCAGCCCAATTTTGAAAAGGTTGCCAACGCATCTGGAACCTTCGGGTGTAGCAGATGTCCATGGGCGGCGGTATTCACTTAACATCAGGTGAACCGTCTGCTCGCTTGACAACTTTTCACCAAAAAAAAAAAAAGGTATTATTATTACTATACCTCTGAAGCCTATATTACTTTTTTAATTATCGCAAACCTTTTAAAAAGTTAAATGTAAGCACTAAATTTAACATATATCATTTCACTATTCTATTGTGCGATATTCGGATAGTGTAATACAAACAAGAGCTGTGATACTCATTGTACGGGCATTCGCTTTTAATTCAATACACTTAAACGTGAGTTAGATCCCTTTGCCGACACCGATGAAATTTTTAAGTGCTTACTAATCAAAAAAAAAAAATATTTCGAAGATATGTGACGTCCGTCAATACGCAGTGAGGTCCCGCGTGGGCTATGCTCTCCTCTGTGCAGAGGCCTTTGTCCAGCAGTGGGAATATAAAGTCTTTACTTGACTTGTACAAACAGAAACGAAAATCGTTATCGAATATTATTAATTTTTTGGCACCCTCTGAATGATAAATTTTATTAAAAATAATATTAAGATTGACGCTATTAAGTATAATATAAATGTTTTGTATGAAAGTATCATAACGGCATACGTTACAAAATTTTACACGAAAGAGATGTTGTCTTCTTATTATTCCTATAAGAAAATTTGTTGCGCATCTTAAACGTATTAAATGACAAACGGTTAAAATTTAATACATGAAAAGAACAGACTGTTTGTATGTCTGGCCTACTCGTTACATATATTTAACTAAACATTTAACACAGACATATGAATCAGTCGAAATATTGCGCGAAGCCACGGTTAACGTGCAATTCAAATAAAATAGTCGAAATTTGATCAATACATGTTATTCATAAACAAATTCCCCGTATATATCCGTTAATCTAATAATTCTATTAAAATTGTCAAAGATGTTTACTTTTAAAATGGCCGTATTTATTCATGTCATGTAATAAATAACTTTCATTTGGCTCTCAATTTATTTTTTAATTCCTAGTAACATATGCGCTTCGTTTTTACTGTGTGGTTTCTCACAACAAATGTGAAACAATCTTCGTATTAAATTAAAACGCTAAAGTTTTTTCTAGTGTTTTTTAATATAGCTGAATATTGGCTGCTCTAGGTACGACACCTGGCCGCTACAAATCTAATTGTTTTCATCACACTATGTTTAATTCTGTTATCAGAAGGAAGTATTAATAAAAATCCGGGATAAAACTGTTCCCGATCAACTTTTAGCGACCGTATTACCCTCTACATAAATAACTACAACCGTTTTTAGTAATAACATATGATAGATCTTTAAAATCACAACGAAGAGTTTAAAAGTAAGTACTTACAATTCCATTCGATCCAACGTATAAGCACTGTACGTGATGAATTTAAATCATTCACAGCGAAAATATTCATTAAGGTCCTATTGCAAATGACAAGAAACGCCTAAGACAATTATGCAAATATTTTTAATCCATTTCAAAGTCGCTTGTTACATTATAAAATTATCACGGAAGCGATCAACTTTAATATTTATTGAATTCCTGCATAAATATTACCATGAATAACAATACTAATAATTTACCATGCGAAAATGACGATCGATTAATTAATTAGATTACATTATTAACAGAAACAGAACATAAGTTTCAACTTCCAACTAGATGCAATTAACAAATGTTTCTTATAAGAAAAACTTATCCAGGTGGCTTAGTAATTTAAAATGCGCGTCATTATAACCCTTTTCGTTTGTCATTAATTTATTAAACATCGAACTTTTTAATTTTTATCGCAGAAAATATCATTATAAAAATTTAATTAAAATTTCGTGTCCCATTTGTTTACCAGAAATTTGTACGTAAAATGTTGACCAGTGTTATTTTCAAAGTCAAATTTTAAATAATGTCATCAAAATCAGTATGTGATTTTTTTAAATTAAAACCATGTTAAAGAAAAACATATAACTCTGTTAATATGTTAACTATGTTAGCTCCCATAAAATTTTATTCGTAAATAACAATAAAATAAACACGTTAAACGTATTACATAAATTCAAAACAATATGAGATTTGGTCGTTTGAAATTCAATGCAAATAAAATTTATTAATAATCGAATAAAATTAAAAACAACAGGCGATGGATTTAAAATTATAATAAGAATTATAGTATTATTCTGCACTTTAATCACCGTTCTGTTTGAGAATAATAAAAAATCTCGAGACAAATTCCAAATAAGTATTACTATATTTATCGACACGAAAGAATAATTGAAAATAATTGGCGGCGATATTAAAAATTCTAAGCTTAACAATCTATTATCATCTTACACAAACTCAGAAACCTATTAAAATCACTTATAAGAAAATCTGTACAAAAACACCATTAGATTGAAAGATAGAAAAAACCAATACAGGCCCAGTACAAATTCCATTACGAAATTCGGTAGGAAGACGGCTGATAATCAAGGATTCGGGCTGAAGGCGTTCAAGAGAACCCTCAAGGCGCGCGGAAGTGGGGTGGGCAGACTAAATTGACAGCAATCAATCACTTATCGGATTCCTCCGCGGCCCGGCTGCGATTTACACTCGCCCATTCATTTACTCCGAACTAATTACACGGCGAACGCTCCTAACAATCCCACCTAAACAATCCTGGCGAGCGTTGCATTCCTCGCAATGCGGCCGGAACGTTACAATTGCACGAAACGAATCTCACAAGTGTCCTATATTAATCCGCACCGTTTGTTTATCCGAGCGACCGTTTTTCGGAGACTTGAACGAACTTCGCCGAGTTGCGATGAGCACTTTCGTTTGGATCGACGCTAGTTTGCCACCGATTTACTTACTGTGTCGCGTTCGGGATCGGCGGGCACACAACACTTATCTTTAGTTCCGTTCACTGTTCGCGCTCGGGCACTGGTACCCCGGGCGACGCAGGGGCAACAACACGTAGCACTCGCGGCAGCGTTGGCGTGGCGTTACGTAAGCGCGGGCGTACGCGGCGGCCGCGACAGCCGACTGCAGTGCGATCCTTCCGAGACCCCGCCGGCTCTGCGCGCATCTGAGGTTCACTCCTTGGCGCGGCCCCGCCCAGTGGGACGCGGCGCGCCGGCTAAGATGACCGTGCGCCTCCTTGTCGCACCGCGCGCGTTGCCCGCTCGGCGTCTCGCTCGCGCGCGGCGACAGTGGGGCGCGCCAATGGGATCGGACGCGCGGGGCCCGAGACGACCGGATCGAGATGTACTTAGGTATCGCTCGCTGCACAAGTCCTTTTGTTGTAGTCGATAATAGGATGCGCTTTTTTTTTTCTGTGTTTTTTTTTTCTCTCCTCACTCGCGTGTCGAAAACCGCAACCGGTCATTTCGGCCAGCGGGCGGCGAACGGCCGTCATCGATTTGTTTACGTTGCGCCGGTACGGCGTGCACTGTTTGTTTTGTTTGGGGCTTTTTTCTTTTTTTTTTTTTTTCTCGAAATCTATACATCGATGGGCAGTCATCGATGATCGGAATTGTTTTTTTTTTTTTTTTTTTTTTTTTAAATTTCGACTTATTTTTAGATGACCGTATGTGTGTGTGCGTTATTTATTTTGCTAGACGAAATTTAAATATGGAATAATGGAATACGAAATAAAAGCGACAAACTAGCAATAGGCTGAAGGGTTTTAATTAATTAGGTTTGTGTTTTTATTTTTGTTTAAACTTCAATGTTGAATTTAAAATTGGAACCGAATAAAATAAATTGAACGATGCAATATTGGCGTTGGATAGAAGTGATCGGAAGTGCACGGATAGAGGTAAGAGCGCAAGATGCGTGGGGCGATCTCGGGCAGGGGTGGTTGAACCCGATGGGGCGCGGATGTAGGTCAGTTTTTGTTTCGCGCCACCCGAAATTCGGTTAGTGGGTATCTATCGGCTGCAGAACGCCCCGTTCTAAACTCGAAATTCGAATTCGCCCACGCTACGATTTTTACGAGTTTAGATTAAACGATTACTTATTAGTTACAACTCCTGTCTTTCATCGTGCCGCCGCTTTTTGGAGTGCGGCCAGTTTCGTATGTACGGTCTTTATATTGGCCCGACGGTCTTGTTGCATCCGAACCGTACTTGCAGACTATCCGAAATATGCATCAGATGTTTATAAACAAACCATCGATACCTCGATTTTGTTTACGTCAAAGCTGCTTTACTTAATCCATGCTAAATAATTAACTGCGTCGTAATTATAATGACAAAGGTTTACAATAGATTTAATACGGAAAACTGAGCGAAGATAGCTATGCATAAGGTTAGCCGGTCAGTTCGCGGGAAATTACTCCTTAGTGTCTAGCTCCTCGCCGCTAGATGGCGTTAGGCGTAATTTTCCGCGCATTTCTCCGATTTTCCGAAGGAAACCCATTTGATTGCTACATTGTATCGACGTTCAAATCAAAGTATTACTCTTCTGGGTAAAATAAATTAAATAACAACAACAAGAGAGCTGTTTTTATATTTTTTTAAGAAAAATATGTGGTGTCATTGTCTTCGAGACATTTAATGATTATAATTGAGTTACTTTTTTTAAATTTAAGAAATACTTATATTGACTTCAATGTATGCTTGTGGCTTGGTTTAATTATTAAAATTAAAAAACTGTTTTAATTCATTTAAAACATGGTTTGCAATTTCAAATAAAATGCAGTTAAATATCCGAAGAAATATATTGTAAGTTTCGTATTTTATTACACGTAATATATAAACACTTTATAAACACACACACAGGGGTAGGCAGATGTGAAGATTGTTGGTTCATGCATATAGGTTACATGTACAATTTATTAATACAAATACTTTAAAACAATTCTTAATATGTATGCAAAAACCAATATTCATTTTGTATAAGACATTTTGTGTTTATCAATATAAATTTAAATGGCAGGGGACATGTATTATTCCTTTTACACCTCTCTAAACTAAGCCGTGTAAGCAGAGACACCGTTCATAAGGCTTTTGTTTCTGGGCCTTTTTTTCAGAAAATTTTAAGAGTAAAAATATCATTCCTCCTCACCGCTTCACATGTTTGACCTCCGATTTTGGGCCATAACGGGGCCAATTTTTTGAATTTCGTTTGTAGGAAAAGTTGTGAAAAAATTCTGTACAATATGAACACGGTCAAAGATAGTGAAGAAAGTTTCGACTTCAAACACATTACGTTCTCTATAGTTTGGAGCACGGCAAGCCGCGCGGCACTCAGAGATGGCAGTAAGCATTTAATTGGAATGTTATAGTATTTAGTAGCAATAATTGGTATTTGGTGCCAAAGCCGTGTGTTTATTTGTGTAAATTAAGTATGAACGGGTTGATGCATTGCATTAAAACTCTGAAAATAAATAAGAGCCTAGTGGTCATTAATTAAACGTCTTTATTGTCGCTGGTAATCTGAAAAACTTTGTTATAATACTAATATTAATGTAAAAGGATTAAGATCACACGATGTTTCTTACATTTTAATTTATTTTATACCAATAAAGTTTCATTAATTGGAATTTATTTCACGAATATTAAGTTTACACGGACAGTTTGAGACAGTAGTAATATGAACAGCCAAAACTCGAGGAGGTAAGGTTCCTAACCCCCTAAATGAGCTCGAACTGAGCAGGTTCGGAGTTTAAAGAAGAAAATTTAATTATTTTTTTATTTAAAAACTACAACACAATAACGTACAATGGCGGACTTAACACCATTAGGTGTTCTGTACCAGTCAACCGACAAATAAGCAGAGAGAATAAGGAGGTGCGAAAGGGCCAGATGATGATAAAATTGTTTTTATTATTATTTTGAAAGGACTATTAGAGAAGGTGTGATACGTGGAAGGTGTTAATTAGCAATCACCCGAGAATGTGTTTAAGTTATAAGCAAAGTAAGTCCATTAAGCTCTAGGTTCATTTCGAGGAAAGAGTCAAACGATGTCGATGAAGACTGATGGGATTAGAAGCCGTCAGATGCGTCAGCTCTCTTCTCTTATTTATGTTTTAACGAGGCTGGCGGTTTACCTGATGTTAGGTGATAACCGCCGCTCACGGACATTTGCACCCATAGGTGTGCACATGTGCTGCCACCTTTTAATAAACTGGGTCCCGGCTACCACAATTACCAGACGAAACGCAGAATTAAAACGTTTCCACAGCACGCCGATCTTCTAGGAGGTCGTGGCACTTTCTCGGACGGACCTGACACGTTGCGAGACCTCACCTCTTTAGAGGACCATCGTCGATGGAACTACACCACAGATGCTGCAGGCGCTTTGCCACCCTAAGAGTGTGATCTGCGGTTACCTTAACGGGCCGTAATGCAAAAACACCTATAGCAATACTCACTCCAATTCAAGTCAACAGATACTAACGGGATTTTAACATTGTAAAATTGTTTTTAATCATAACCTTTGGAGAAAGTTTCACAAACTCCATATGTAATTTCTTGCATTTGATCTGGCTACCGTTTACCCTACATTTACATACAAGTGGTGCTCTTTTTGGAAGTATATTACACTTTCGAACAGAGTATTGGGCTCAGTTCGTAGTTTTAAAACAGAAATTACTTCCTTTATGGTCCTTTATTACATCTCGTGTTTACTTTAATAACAAACATCGTGATGGAACCGGTTTATGGATACAGATTTTATCGTTTGAATTTTTCTGTTTACTTATTCCGCGTAACGTCGTCGGCTTTCCGTCGCTGTCTAGCATGGGAATATGCGAGAATGCAATTTGACCGCACTTCCCGCAAAGTGTCAACATCAATAGATATAAAAATCACCTCTTTGTTTACGTATCAGCAAAATCGTTTACTGTCTCTGCTGAGAGTTTACTTGTCTGAACATAATACAAAAGAAGCGAACACAATCTTCAACAACTACTAATGACCCAAGCACTAATTTCACTTTCTTCGACAATAATCTTTTGTGGTCCTGGTGTATTGACAGTGTCTGCAATTGAATTGGTTTCAATAATGCTTTTTTAATTTGGACCTTATAAGACGTTCGACTTGAAATTGCACCATTTCTTTAAGGCTTCGGTCTTTTCTGCCGCGACTGTCTTCACACCATGTCTTTTGGTCTCGCTTCTAGTCTTGTTTGGGACTACCAACCTGCCTTGTTGTACCTAGAGACTATATTCTAGGACTTAATTCTATCAGATTATGGTCAATGCGAGCTCATAAGCTTCCATCGGTGCGAGCCCGTCCTGTATGTATAATGTATCGATCTTCAAGATTAACGATTCGCGATGAGAATACTTCTATAATTATATCCCGTAACATTCAGGTAACGTTAATGTAAAGTTAAGGTAGTTTTAGTTCCAAAGCACTTACATCCAAGAAATATTCCCATTTAATTGTGTTACAGCTGTAAAATAGGAAAAAAAATATAATATTTCTTTTATTTCACCTAAAATATTTTAACAGTAAAATAGAAAGTATATTTTTAAATTCCCGTTAAAGTAGATTAAAGACAAATATCCCGTGTAAGAAGATAAGTTTGACAAGGATTGTGGAAGGTGTTACAACATCTCTACTTACCCCTCTAGACAGCAGGCGTTAGTATTTTTGTATGCATCTAATAGTGTCAGTACTTGACGCGCAAAAGCCTTTGTTTTGTTCGTTTATTTCTTTTCTTCACATCGTTCGACCGTGAATGTGTTCAAGTAGTATTAAGTTCAAGGTTCGTTCCGCAAAGTTGAAAGTTACGTAACACGGAGCGGTATGCCCGTGTTTGTTCTGCTGACGTTATGAACAATACCATTTATATATTTTGACTTAAAAGAAACCGTCAGACACTTAAAACTCCCGACAAATAGATTTTTTTATAAAAAACGTAAATTAATGGCCTGTATGCAAAGTCATAGTTCACCATTGCGGATTGAACGATTTCACATATGATTGATATATATTTTCTTTGTTATTATTTCGAATATATGCAAGTTTACTCACGATGTTTCCTTCACCGCTGAGCACGATGATAAGTCAGCACTTACAACTAACAATTTAATTTATGACCTCACCGGGATTCGAACTTAGGTTGCTTGAGAACAATACATTGAAGACGAGCACCCGGACACTATCACAGCTATTATTTTACAATATCCGTTAGGTAATATACTAATCATTGTCTATTGTTTTCAATGTATACTGTGATTTTAAACATTGGATCTCAGTTTTTAGAATGGGCAACAAATGATTCGCGATCCTTACTATGAAAATATACAAATAAACTAAATTTAAAATATT